ATTACCTGCCAGTAACAAGAACAGGGTCCTACCTGTTTTACTACACCTGACAACCCCCTGACCCACGGCTCATAACCGAGAACCCAAATAACTGAATGTCATTCCACAGAACTCGTTACCGTACACTTGGGGTGTGAAGTCAGGTACCGTGGTAGTTCATATTGACGAGGTGAAGAACTATCGAAATTTATGTGTGACTCTTTTGCCTTTGAATTTACAGTTGTCTAAGGTGGCTACTGACATATCCCAGTCAACCTTTCGTTATTGTAATTTAAATTCTTTTTAGTGAAAGTTGAATTATAACGAAAATTGACCCTGGATTATGTCCAGTGAACCTTTGGCAAATGTATTTGTCGTAAGACATCGCTCAGTCAAACGCAAAGTACACACTAATGGGGGGGGGGCGGGGGGTGGTTTTCCACTAAACTAAAGTTTATGAGGCTAACACAAAAAATGTCCAGATCTATCCGGGCAGACGTCGAAAGATCCACTGAAGTCGGTACTTTACTTTTTTTCTTAGTTAGCTAGCCAGTAGGCATCTCGTCAGGAGATCCTCGTCCGCAGGTTCTCCACCCCTCTCCACTCCGGCAGCTGGAGTCTCTTGTACTTAGTGTCGGCGCGGGGGGAGGGTTAATAATCGATATAATAATAACAACAACAACGATCATACGTCTCCATAAGTTCACGCAAAGTTTCTCCAGGTCATTCTCTTTTACAGTATTTTACACAAAATACGATGGAAAGAGAAACAAAACTAACCGATTCGCAGTAGAGGAATTTTTTATTTGTTTACGAAAAAATTTTTAGGAGAATAGACACTCTGATGCTGCTGACCTCAGTCCTCAGTCGGTGGTGTAGATGCTGCTGAGGTCTGGGAGCTCAGTCTTGACGGTGCGTCGATCTTCCTCTGGACGGCTGTACTGCTGGCGCACCTCACAGTGATGCAGCTGGTCAGGAAGCTCTCCATGATGGAACATTAGAGGGTTGCCAGCATTTGTCGTAGCCTGGCCTTGTTCAGTTCCCTGAGGACGAAGAGTCGTTTTTCACCAGGTGTTGGAGGTCCATGTCAGATGTTTGGACATGTTGAGGTCCTCCACGCTCTCCACTGCTTCTCTGTGTATGTGGAGGGGGAGGTGGACTTCCTTTCTTGTTCTCCTGAAGTCAGTGATGAGCTCCTTGGCTTTAGAGGTGTTAAGGACCAGGTTGTTGTCCTTAGACCACTCAGCCAGATGTTCCACCTCAAGCCTGTAGGCCGTCTCCTCATTGTCTGTAATAAGCCTCACTACTGTGGTGTCATCTGCAAATGTAATTATGGAGTTACCAATGAAAACTGTGTGCAATGTGAAAAATAATTACAACATTAGAAATAATCAACAATGGCTAACTAAGGATTTTGGCTCTTAAATACTTTCCAACGCTACCCTGTGTGTGACACACATCTAGCTCCAAACAAAAAGTGTTCTCAGTCATTTCTTTAGACATCTTGCCCTAATAGTTATAGACCAACATTTCCTTATTTAATCTTCATTCTTAAATGTGTGTTGGTCATTATTTTTAATTTAACGTTACTTCAACAAGAAATGAATCGTGCTTAGGTCAGGAACTACTTTCAGCAGCAGATTAATCACCATCTGGACCTCTAGTGAGTATTTGTGGCAGCAGAAGTATGAACTGTATGGATTCACTTTTAAAAACTAACGTTTACATGTTCATGAGGGAAGCGTGATGTATTGTAATCGTTCTTGGATAACAATGGAGCTCTTTGGCACAGAACAAATGGTTTATCAGGCTTTGGATAAACACACAATTTAGAAGGATTTATGAATGGTTTTGTTTTGTCTCTGAACCTAAGGAGGAGCTCAAAGTCCGGTCCCTCTGTCCTTTTATACTTATCTTTTCTCTTAATTTACCTTCAAATTGACAGGATTTAGACATTAGCAATAAAGTGTGCACGTCGCTGAATGACGACTTGTCAGGACAACTCGTTGCCATGGTAATGACATTATGCTCATGGTGACTGGACTGGCACACACCCACAGCTCTCTGTTGTCTTCGGTGTGTGTCACCTACGTTTCATATTGTATAAGTGCACTAAAAATGTTCCCATACATAGAATAATACATCTAATTTATAAGCACTTCTTTGCAGACAGAAAGCAAGATTAAAGCCCCCAGAAGGTACTTCCATTCAACAGCCAATCAAGAGTGACGCCCCGAATCATTTAGCTATCCAAAGAGCCTTACCAGATACAAAAAAAAAGAAAGTTTGTCTGGAAGCACATTGGAGGTCAGTGTAATAAAAAAGCTTTTTCTCTCTGGGGGCATAAATGTGCTCTGGTTGCTTTATGGCAATCTGTCTATATAATAAATAATATATGAAGGTCACGGATATTTAAAGTGTTCTCCATAAAAGAACATTATCTTAGTTTGGAGGAAATGTTACAGAACAACTGTCGATAAAAACGATAAAAACTAAGTTTACAAAATGTAACCTGCACTGAAAGAAACACATCAAACTGCTCACAAACATCACCACAGCTCAGACTTCTGTATCATACAGCGCCAAACACATTACAAGCTTTCAAGCACACAGCACTTTGTTTATTATTGTCAAAGTGCACAAACTGGTGAGGAACTGATAGAAGGATCATTCTATGTTTTCTAACAGTTGTGCTTACACAATGGGACCCTGGGACTCTTAGCAGAACTAGCTTATCAAATCTTAGTTAGCATTAGCTTACAGATGTTCAATGCGCCCCTAACATAAATACTGTAGGTTGGAGTGTTTTATTGCAACCTGGATATTTTATTTTATTTACAACGATCTTCTTTGCTGGCAATGGTCTGATAGCGAACAATAGCAGACCTGGTGAATGTGTAAATTGACCAATCAGAAATTAGGAATGTGTGTGTGTGAGTGTGTGCGTATATCTGACTCTTTTGACTGGATCAAGTGCCCTCCACAGCGCCCTCCCTTATCCCAACCCTCATCCCAAATTAAAAGGACTTGCAGCTAATTAAAAACGTGTGTCTGGATGTTAGCCAACTTCATGTTCTATTCATGCAGATTAATACATATTTGCCGTTGCCTGTGGGGGCTGAAAAGCATCTGTCTCTGCCATTAAACATTCATGAGTTTGCAGGACAAAGGGAAAGAGAGCAATGGAGAGCCGCTCCTCCTCATATCAGCACACATCTTAATGGAGCGCATTAAATCGGAACGGCCAAATAGGGAATTTCACAATGACAATGGTATTCATCACACCTCTGTTTTAAATCTCCCCTCAGATCAGTCTGTGTGGCCGGAATTCTACTAACATGTATTCCACTCATATACTTCACTTCCAGTTTGGCATACAATAAACATACACAATGTCACACCATTAAACATCAATGATGTTTAATGATGTGACAATAGAGTGGGCGGTTAGTGGAGAAATAGAATAAGTCAAAATGTAACCCAACATATA